TCTCTGAGATCAACCTCCCGGAGTCTTTGGTTAATTTAATTATGCAATGTATCTCCTCGACTGATCTAGAGATTCTCTGGAATGGGTCTAAGGCTGGGAATGTCATTCCGAGTAGAGGTCTGAGACAAGGGGATCCTATCTCGCCCTATATCTTTGTCCTTTGCATGGAAAAGCTTTCTCATATTATAGCTGACTCCATAGAGAAGAAGGAATGGAAACCGATGACAGCTGGTAAAGGTGGCCCTAGAATTTCCCATCTTCTTTTTGCAGATGACCTTCTGCTGTTCGGGGAAGCTAGTGTGGCCCAGATTGGTGTTATCCTGAACTGTCTTAATTTGTTTGGTCAAATGTCTAGGCAAAAGGTCAGCTATCCCAAATCCAGCATTTTCTTTTCCAAGAATGTCCCTATTGAGGTTGCTAATCCTATTGTGGCTCTTAGTGGTTTTGCCCAGACAAAGAATATTGGAAGATATCTGGGATATAGAATGAAGCATGGCAAAATTAGCAAGATTCATTATGGAGATATTATGGACAGGGTTAACAACAGACTTCAGGGTTGGAAAAAACAATGTCTTTCTATGGCTGGGAGAGTCACTTTGGCGAAATCTGTGTTGTCAGCCATGCCTATGTTTCATATGCAAAATAGCCTTCTCCCTAGGGGTCTTTGTGATGACATTGAGAAGCTCCAAAGGAGCTTTATTTGGGGTGATTCTGATACAAAAAGAAATTTCCATGCTGTTAATTGGGAGCAGCTTAAGCTTTCAAAGAATCAGGGGGGTTTAGGAATCATTGATCTCAAAGTTCAAAATGAAGCTTTTCTTCAGAAATGTGCTTGGTCAATCATTCAGTCTCCTTCTCATCTTTGGGTAAAAGTGCTGACGTCAAAATATGGTAGGAAGAAAGATCTTTCGAAAGAGACCATCTTCAAACCTTATGATTCTCATCTCTGGAAGAGCCTTTGTAAGATATGGCCTGCCATGTTAAACAACCTGAGTTGGCAGATTGGTAATGGTAAAAGTATAGCCTTTTGGACAGATAATTGGACTGGGCTAAGTTCCAATCTTCTTTCTTTTGCTACTGCTCCCCCTATAGCCGAAGACACTGTTCTAAAAACTAATCACAGTAACTTTGTTTCTGAGGAGGGTTGGAACATTCGTTATTTAGATCTTCATTTTGACAGTGATGTGGTGAACTGTATTTTGGCTATACCTCATCCTGTGGTTGATGGAGAAGATGATTTTCTGATGTGGAAGAATTGGAAACCTGGTCTTTCTGTTGTCAAAATTGCGTATAGTAATTGGAGTTTAGCTAATTCTACCACCCCTAATGGCTGTTGGAATCGAATTTGGAACTGGAAAGGGAAGGAGAGGGTCAAATTTTTCATGTGGAAGTTATTACATGAAAGATTGCCAACCAAGGAGATTACTGCCAAGTGGAGTGGTTCTCCGAATTGCTGCCCTTCTTGTCTTGATAAGGTAGAATCTTGCCTTCATGTTTTCAGAGATTGCCAGAAAGCACGTAAGGTTTGGTTTCTTCCTTTTTTCCACCCTCTTCCAACTGACTTCTTTAGTTCGGGTTCTTTTAAGGATTGGATGGCTTTTAATCTACTTTATAGTAACAGCAAAAGGAGGGATTGGAGGGATTTTTTCTTTAATACATGCAACTTACTGTGGACTTGGAGAAATAAGGATCTTCATGAAGAGAATTTCAAAAGAATGGATAATCCTTCCTCTATTCTTGCTGACTTAATAGAGGAAAGAAGGTTCTGCATCACAAAAGGTTCTCATATTTGTGCTGGTATTCTGCCTAATCCCATCCAATCTGTTTGGATAGTTCCTGCGCAAGGTTTTCTAAAGCTAAATGTTGATGGTGCTGTCCTTGGTGGTAAAGCTGCCTGCGGTGGTCTCTTGAGAGACAGTAAGGGCGTTTGGGTTAGTGGTTTCACTGCTTTTATAGGTTCCTGCTCCCCCTTGCAAGCAGAACTTTGGGCGATTTTTAAAGGTTTAGTTTGTGGTTGGAACTACGGTTGGAAGAAAATAATGTTGGAGTCAGATTCATTACAAGCTATTAGCCTTCTTACCATATCTGGTAATGATACTCGAAAGCTTCCTTTGGTAGCTAAGATTCGAGCCTTACTAAACAAGGATTGGACTGTGTTATTGGGTCATGTTCCTAGGAGTTGTAATACTTGTGCTGACTGCTTGGCAAAATTAGCTTTGGATGACCCCCCTGGCCTCACGTTTCTATCCTCTCCTCATAGTGAGCTTATCAACATGCTTGCAGCAGATCTTCTAGATCCAGGCTTGGAAGGATCTGTGTTTTGCTGATGGCTCTGTGTTTAGTTTTCTTGTTGCAGAGCTGTTTCTTTTCTTTCTGCTTTAGTTTGCTTTATGTTTAATTTCTTGCTGTTGTTTTTTTGTTTGGGGCCTTGCCCCTGTTGATTATCAAAAAAAAAAAAAAAAAAAAAAAAAGTATGTATCCATTCACTCATATAAACATTAATATAAATACTTATATAAAATAGGGTCAACCCCCCTCCTTCACCACCATTGTGTATTGTTACTTATTGGGTATAGAATAGATTTTCTTTTTTTTTGTTTCTGTATATATAATTATTCCGCTATTACTAAAAAAATTATAGACCAAAGTTACACGAGTGACACTATAGGGAGGTGTTTGGTATGACAATTTTTATTTTTTTTTTACCCGAAACTCAAGATTTTCGGCAATATGGTAGAAATTTTTTTTCTTCAAGAATATTATCAAAAAGTTGTTTGATATGAATCAATTTTCCCGGGAATGTTGAGTTATTTTTCTGATATGTTTGGTTGATTGTAAAATATTATTGGGAATGTTGAATGAAATTATAAAAATATCTACTTGTTTGAATACATCGTCTATTTAATCGTTTCCCTAGGTAGGGCAATTTCGTTCAACAATTTGCTTTATCGTTTTCCAAGTGTAGGAAAAAAATTATACCGAGCTTAGACACTTTAGCAGGGGGAATAGGCTCATTTCCTGTACAGTTGCCCTTCTACCATTGTGTACAATGCGGCATCCTTAACCAACTTCCGAGCTTCCTCCTTTTGGGGGGAGCATCCTGTTTTCTATGTAATCAATGATGGTGCCACGCCAATCGTTTCCTTCGGTTATCTGCATGACACATGTAGGTTCTGGGATACTCTGCTCAACCACCGTTCTAAGGTTTCCCCAACCTTTAGTGCTTGGTAGCTTTGACAATATGTCAGCCCTGCTATTTTCATTCCTTGGAATATGACTGACCTCCACTTTTTCGAACTCCGCTATTAACTGCCTTGCGGAATCCAAGTATTTTGCCAACAACGGTCCCGTAGCTTGGTAGCTGCCTGCAATCTGGGAGGTGACCAGTTAGGAATCACTATAGATTTGTAGTCTCCTTGCTCCGAGCTCCTTGGCCTGCTGAAGCCCGGCTATGAATGCTTCATATTCTGCCTGATTGTTTGATGTTTCAAAGTTCATTTGCATGGAGTATTCAACCGAAACCCCTTCCGGGTTCTCAATAATTACCCCGGCTCCGCTACCTTTGGAGTTTGAGGACCCATCCACATAGATTTTCCAGGTTTCTGGGTTTGTTGAGCTCTCCTTTTGGATTGAAGTAAGCTCCCTGATAAAATCTGCCAATGCTTGAGATTTGATTGTGTTTCAGCTTTCGAAAGCTATATCAAATTCTGATAATCCCACAGCCCAAGCCATAATTCTTCCTGCTAAGTCAGGCTTATGCAAAATTTGCCGAATTGGCAAGTCTGACTGACTACAATCTGGTGTCCTTGGAAATATGCTCTAAGCCTTCTAGCCGAGATTAGTAAGGCGAAAGCAACCTTTTCTAACTTTTGATAACGGAGCTCTACTCCCTACAAGATCCGACTTACGAAGTAAATCGATTGTTGCCCCTCCTCATTTTCTTGGACCAGGACCGAGCTAACAGCAACATCTCCCACAGAAAGATACATTATCAATGGCTCCCCTTCTCTTGGAATAGATAAGACTGGTGGTGATGCCAGTTGCTTTTTAATTTCTTGGAATGCCGCCTCATATTCCGAAGTCCAGCCATATTGCACCTCCTTTCGTAACAGTTTGAAACAAGGTAGTGCCGTTTCTGCAGACCGAGGTAAAAACCTAGTGAGGGAAGCTAGCTTTCCAGTCAACTGTTGGATCTCCTTTTTGCTATCCGGGGCCTTCATTTCCAGCACGGCTCTGCACTTGTCCGGGTTAGCTTCTATGCCCCTGTGAGTCAGCATGAATCCTAAGAATTTTCCTGCAAGGACTTCAAAAGCACATTTAGCTGGGTTTAACCGAATGCTGTGCTACCGCAGTTCGTTAAAGGTCTGCTCTAGATCTTCAATGTACATTGCTGAATTAATCGATTTGACTATCATGTCGTTTATATATACCTCCACATTCTTGCCGAGCTGATCCGCAAATACCTGATTCATCATTTTTTGGTAGGTGGCCCCCGAGTTCTTCAATCCAAAGGGCATCACATTATAATAATAGTTTTCCCTCTCTGCGATTAAAGCATTTTTCTCTTGGTCTTCAAGGTGTAGTGGGAACTGGTTATACGGCGAATATGCATCCATGAAGGATAACATCTGGAACCTGAATGAGTTGTCAACGAGCTGATCTATATTGGGCATGGGGTATGCATCTTTGGGACATTCCTTATTCAGGTCAGTGTAGTCCGTACACACCCTTCATTTCCCATTTGGCTTTTTAACCATCACCACATTAGATAGCCAGGTTGTGTATTGTATTTCTCTGATGAATCCTGCTTCCAGCAACTCCCTCACATGATCTTCCTGTACTTGCCGACGTTCCGCGTTGAGCTTCATTTTCTTCTGGGCTACTGGCTTAGATCCCGGGTATACTGCGAGCTTGTGACAACAAAAATGAGGGTCCACTCCAAGTATCTCTGAGGATTTCCAAGCAAAGACGTCCACGTTCCTTCTTAGGCACTCAGTAAGTCAAATTTTGTCCTCATTCGCCAGCCCCTTTCCGATTTTGGCAGCTTGAGTTTCTTCTCCAATGACTACCTCCTCCAGCTCTCTATCGGGTTCCGGCCTCGGGATCTGAGTTTCATCCCTCATGTCCAACTCCACCAAGTTAATCGATGTTGTTCCCTTCTTCCCCGAACTATCCTGCTTATTATTGGGGTTCACCCCGGCAGGAGTCTTAAGATTATTTCCTACTGCTCTAACTGACTTAAAATAGCTGTCCCAAGATTCTTTTTGATCCCCAGCAATGGTGATGACCGTTTTATGCTTATCGATCAACTTGAGCTTCTGATGCTTGGTGGAGACCAGCATATCCCAATCGTGGATAGTTGGCCTTCCCAGAATTACGTTATACTCCGACGGGAAGTCAGCTACTATGAATCTTACCATTTCCGACTTGTAGGCCTCCTTTGTTCCCATGGTAAGCCTCAGGTCAATGTACCCCTTAGGGATAATATCACGACCATTGAATGCAATCAAACCCGTGTTGCAGGGTTTCAAATCTTCCACATCCAGGTTCATTTTCTGGAATGCCTGCCACAAAATTATGTTGGCACAACTGCCGTTATCCACAAATATTTTCTTGACTTTACAGTTGACTAATGTACCGGTGATAACTAACCCGTCAACGTGTCCCGGCATGACGTCCTCTAACTCTTTCTTAGTAAAAAATAGTAGTGGTGCTTCCGGTTCGGCTTCTTTAAACTTAGGTCGCTCTCGTATTGAAAGCACCTCTCTTAAGTACTTCTTCCTGGCATTCATGGTATCACCTCCTCCACCAAAACCCTCGCTAATAACATTGCATTCAAATTCAAGTTCTATGAATTCATCCTCTTCTTTGGCCGGCTTCTTACCTCGGCCCTCATCCCTGAACTTCTTTTCCCGGGACGGGCTGGCAAATCGTCCTCTCCTCTTCTTATTATTCTTCCATCCCTGAGTTCTTATCAAATACTGACGCAACTTTCCTTCTCTGATATATCTTTCAATTGCGTCTCTAAGATCCCAGCATTCATCGGTTGTGTGACCAGGGCCATCGTGGAACGCGAAATATCGAGACTGGTCCAGACTGGCTGGATTCAGTAATGGCCGTTGCCTATCCACCCTTTTCATTTCGGTGGATGCTACCTCCCTCCAAATTTGGGATCTGGACGAATTCAGAGGTGCATATCTGTCAAATCTTACTTTTGTTGAAACTTTCTCTTCTGGCCTTTTACCCCGGAAATCATTTTGCCTTCGATTTCCAAGTTTTTCCATCTGGCCGTGGTGTTGCCTTGGGTTTGCGTTTTCAATCTCCATATGTTCGAGCTCCAAATATTTTTTGGACCGTGCAGTGAACTCAACTAGAGTTCGGACTGGGTCTTTGTATACGGATTTAGCCAACCTGGAGGACTCGTGTAGGCCGGCGATGACCAAATGTAAATGAACATTCTCAGATAGCCCGGGAACTTGTAAGGCGGCCATTTTGAAGCGGTCCAAATACTTCTGCAAGGTTTCACCGGGCTGTTGCTTTATTTTTCCCAGTGCAAATTCGGACTTCGGCTGTTTTTTACTCGTAGCAAAATTCAGCAAGAATCTACCTCCGAACTCTTCAAATGATCTGATGGATCCTGCCGGTAGAGATGAAAACCATGATTGAGCTGCTCCTGTCAGCGTGGTTGCAAAT